AAAATTTTAAACAAATAACAAATATGACTCATTTGAATAAATTACTGGTTTCGAAGGCTATAAATACAATTTTTGCCCAAATTACGTCATTTCCGGTGATATTGAAAATGTTAAATTGGTTTGACCTAGTTAAAATTGACATTACACATCAAATGGTGTCACTTTTATGAAAATCGAATAATAATTGACTCTTTTACAGGCAAACTAGCGTAAAAAGTGACTCATGCAAAATTGCCCATTTCTCGGCAACTGCGCATATTACAAATTAATTTTCACATACATTCTCTCCGTATAGATTATTGCTACGAGTTTATGAAAGTTACGAAGTAATAGTTTAAAATATGAAAACGCTGAATGGGTTGTAAATAGCTTAATTTTACACCTTTTTTCACCTTTTAATCGAAATAGCCCGAAAACGGAATCGAAATTAAAAAAAATGGTCCCAACATTTTGTGCGCCTTTAAAGGGCGCACAATTTCAGTTATACCAGATTTGAAAAAAATAATATTTGCTTTCGAAAAATGGTACCTAACTGTCAAAATTGTAGTTTTTTGTCAATTTACGCCACTTCCGGTGCCGACAGATAACACTATTGGTAACAAAAAAAATGACAATTGAGACAACGGGGCATATGAACTTTGTTTTATACAAATCGAACAATAAATAATTAATCTAGGACTGAAAAACTGAATTAGCCAATGGGGGCCAAGGAAAATTACCGAGACAAAAAATTTTCACATTTTTGCCCAAGTCAGAGGACTCGTTATATTTGTGTAAAACACGATTAAAAAATATTCATAAATAAAAAAGTTTTTTGTAAAAATTTAAATTTTCTAAATTTAGCGCCTAATATCTGCGAAGATTTGCCGAAAATCAAAAATCAAAAGTAGCGTAGCTATGTGCCCCGTCTCCGGCTATGCCAAAATGCATCGAAAGTTAAAATCCAATGATTATTGTTAAAATTACTGCAATATTTCTAAAAACGATAGCTTCGGTGATTTCGGACATTTCGCATTGTCGCAGAACGTTCAAAATAGCTTTATCCTCTAAGTCACACCCACTTTTCCGATAAAACCGAAGAAATCGTAACGATCCGACAATCAGTTGCTGAGATCTACTCAAAACAAAAGAAGAATAATAATAATAAGAATAATAATTTTAACAAAAACAATAGTGTTTCACACAAGCTACGCAGTGTGAAACCCTAATAATTTTAACAAAAACAATAGTGTTTCACACAAGCTACGCAGTGTGAAACCCTAATAATAATTTTAACAAAAACAATAGTGTTTCACACAAGCTACGCAGTGTGAAACCCTAATAATTTTAACAAAAACAATAGTGTTTCACACAAGCTACGCAGTGTGAAACCCTAATAATAATAATAAAACATAAGCGGTGAATATGTTATGTATCAAATTTTTAAAAAAATCTTATAAATTCATACATGTTACATGCATTAATAAAGAAATTAAGTTTGCCACTTGGAACTAAAGGCACCCAATCGTAGCTAAAAACAAGTATATCTCAACGTGTCGTTTTTAGCTACGTTCTCGTAAACCTAGGCGTATCTTAGTATCTACCACCTCTGTCCTCCGCCCTGACAGAACTGTTATGATTCATCCGCGTTACTCGATTACAGTTCAGTCAATTTGGGACATATCCGAACAGACAATCGAACATCCCCATATAGTCACTACTGAGCTATATGTAACTTTTTTTTTTTTAGATACCGGTAGGCCTACACGATTTTGATACATGTATACGTAGGTAGGTATATGCTACGTGACAAATAGTAATACAAATTTTGATTAATTAAAGTCAAAGATTGTATGTAGGCTACACATGACACAATAATCTAATGTAATCCCATTTGGAAATTAATTCCTGAGAATTTTTTTTGTCGTGTTCTCAACTAAATGAGATTAAGTTTTATGCCTACAATTATTAATGTTTTATACTGTGAACTGCGGTGACAGTACGTCAGTCAGCACGGTCCGGTAGTTAATTAAGAGGAAGATCATTGATCAAGCAATACTTTTAGTTTTAGGAATTGATGTACATGTAAGCAAGATCATGTGGCCTGGCCAGGCCTCAGGGGTGGGCAAATTGGCGCCATAAATTTTTCACAAGTTGATTTCCTTTATTTTGTTAATGTAGAATGGTAATGAACTGCTCTTTTCATTTTCTTTGTTTTATTTGTTTCGTTTGAATTTGATTTATCAGTTTAGTTTTTGATTGTTTAATTTTTGTTAATGAAGTTGATTCTTTTAAACTTCGTTTTTATTTTTGAACTCTACTTGGTGTAGGTGGGCGCTATTGCACTTTCGTACCTCTACCAGTTCCCGTGGTCGTAGGAACTTGAAATTATTAGAGGATGTTAAGGGGGACTAGCAATGACCACACACCAAATTTCAGCCGAATCGATCAATAACTTTTTATTTTACCGACCTTTTAATTTCTAACGAGAGAGAACTTCATCTGTTTGACGCCATTTGCTTTGTTTACTATTTAGACTCGAATAACAAGACACTAAGACGGAAACCGACACACTGCACTAGCTGCCTATCTCTGCAGTTCATAAAAATTAATATAATTTTCGTATACTTTAATTTTTGCGCGAAGCCACCATGTTCTATAAAATACTATTTGGTGTTGATCAGTGGATTGGCCTTTAGGTGTGAATATTGCCGTGACCTTGATTTTCACCTTGAGTCTTAACTTCCCATCCATATCAGGGCCTTTGCGTTTATGATTGCCGTGGCCTTATTTCTTACTGTATTTTTAAAGTTAATGTTCGAGGTGAAAGCAGAGACGACGTCCTTCAGAAAAGATAATTGGGTCAAAGTCGTAGGTCAAGGTCATGTTACAGAAAACTAAACTCAAACTTTTCAAAGTCATTTTTTGAACATTTGACCTTGACTTACGACCTTGACCCCGTAACCGTTTTCGAAGGCTATCATCTTGGCTTGAATCATGGACGTTTACCTTGGTTCTGTCACACACTGCTCGGTCAGAAAAGGGTCAAACGCAGAGGGGCCGTGGAGGTCACCACGAACTTTCTCATTGACCACGCCCTTTGACTTCCTTTCGGACACGGGCCCCTCTGCGTTTGACCGTTTTCTGACCGAGCAGTGTGCGACAGGGCCAAGGTAACCGTCGATGGTTCAAGCCACGATTATGGGCTTTGAAAATGGTTATGGGATCAAGGTCGTAAGTCAAGGTCAAATGTCCCAAAACTGACTTTGAAAAGTTTGAGTTCAGTTTTCTGTAACATGACCTTGACCTACGACTTTGACCCATTTATCTTTTCTGAAGGACGTTGTCTCTGCTTTCACCTCAAGCATTAACTTTGATAATACAGTAAGAAATAGGGTCACGGCAAGCATAAACGAAAAGGGCCCGAGATTGATGGGAAGTTTGGACTCAAGGTCAAAGTCAAGGTCACGGATGATTAAAGGTGACTAGTGGAGGTCACCACGACCTTTCACATTGACCACGCCCATTGACTTCTTTTCGGACACGGGCCCTTTGCGTTTGACCCTTTTCTGACCGAACAGTGTGCGACAGGACCAAAGTAAACGTCGATGGTTCAAGCCAAGGTGATAGCCTTCGAAAATGGTTACGAGGTCAAGGTCGTAAGTCAAGGTCAAATGTCCCAAAACTGACTTTGAAAAGTCCGAGTTTAGTTTTCTGTAAGATGACCTTGACCTACGACTTTGACCCAAGTATCTTTTCTGAAGGACGTCGTCTCTGCTTTCACCTCGAACATTAACTTTGATAATACAGTTAGAAATAAGGCCACGGCAAGCATAAACGCAAAGGGCCGAGATGGATGGGACGTTTGGACTCAAGGTCAGAGTCAAGGTTACGAATGGTTAACGGTGACTAGTGGAGGTCACTACGTCCTTTCACATTGACCACGCCCATTGACTTCCTTTCGGACACGGACTCTCTGCGTTTGACCGTTTTCTGACCGAGCAGTGTGCGACAGGACCAAGTTAAACGTTCATGATTCAAGCCAATGTGATAACCTTCGAAAATGGTTACGGGGTCAAAGTCATAAGTCAAGGTCAAATGTCCCAAAAATGACTTTGAAAAATTTGAGTTTAGTTTTCTGTAACATGACCTTGACCTACGACTTTGACCCAATTATCTTTTCTGAAGGACGTCATCTCTGCTTTCACCTCGAACATTAACTTTGATAATACAGTAAGAAATAAGGCCACGGCAAGCATAAACGCAAAGGCCCCGATATGGATGGGAAGTTTGGCCTCAAGGTCAAAATCAAGGTCACGGCAATATTTACACCTAAAGGCCAATCCACTGATCAACACCAAATAGTATTTTATAGAAAATGGTGGCTTCGCGCAAAAATTAAAGTATACGAAAATTATATTAATTTTTATGAACTGCAGTGTTAGGCAGCTAGTGCAGTGTGTCGGTTTCCGTCTAAGTGTCTTGTTATTCGAGTCGGTTTCCGTCTTAGTGTCTTGTTATTCAAGTCTAATTAGTAAACAAAGCAAATGGCGTCAAACGGATGAAGTTCTCTCTCGTTAGAAATTAAAAGGTCGGTAAAATAAAAAGTTATTTATCGATTTGGCTAAAATTTGGTGTGTGGTCATTGCTAGCCCCCCTTAACATCCTCGGAAAATTTCAAGTGCCTATGACCACGGGAACTGGTAGAGGTACGAAAGTGCAATAGCGCCGTGTAGGTGTTCATCAGGTAATACCTCGACTGAGTTCAATATAGAGATTAGCCGGTTGATTTGTTGGATATAAACCTTTGAATAATAGCGCCTAACAGGCAGCTGTGTTTAATTATGTTCTCCTGATTTTGATTGTTTTTGTGTGTTTGAAGTATATGTTTGTGATATACGCTTAGAAACACTTCACGTGTAATGAAGCGCTATATAAATCGAACAATAATAATAATAATAATATTTTCTTCATCATTATATACGTCTAATAATTAATCGTCAAATATTATTAAATTATACCCATATAACAGATTTATCTGTACTCGCCTGACCTGCGTACAGTGACGGACGGGAGATCACTCTAATTGATATAAAAAGATATAGACCACTTTACTCTTGCTGACATCTTTCTTTAAATTATTTATGTTATATCATATTTAAAATAACCGTAGATCGACTCGCATAATTATCCAAATGCCAAGTCCTGTTCTACTTAGACCTAGGTATTTTTCAAGAGCGTTTCTCCTTGAAAAGCACAAACCAATTTGTATGGCGCAACTATTGAAAGTTAAAATAAATATGGTCATTTACAAATTTCGGCGATGTGTTGATGATAGATTTAGCTTAAATTTGCATCCAATCATGTAACATCTTAGCCAAATCACGTCAAGTCGAACATCATGATTTTACCAACTGGCGAATACGGTCGAATACCTCAAAAGCGGGAATTAATACCACGGTGCGCTAAGGACTGGACGCAGCCCGGCGGACCGGATTAACCCTTTGGGGGTCCGGGACAAGTCGGGGTTGGGGGTAGGTTAAGAAAATAAAGCGTAAGCTACGCTCCAATGCGCCCCCCCCCCCCCTAGAAAAATTTGAAAAATAGATTCGATTTATTGAACATTTTTTGGGGGTATTAGAACATAAGCTTCAAACTTTAATCAAGGCCTACCAATCTCAGCTAGACGAATTGGAGCGCACTACCAGCGATTGTGGACCGAATGAAAGCCAAGAGAGTGGCCTTCATATTTTCAAATCTAAATCAGAATCACTGTGTCATCCAATGGAACTTTGGATCTTGTACTTAACCCCAAATGTGGGGTACCCCAATTGTACCGCGCCCGAGACATTTGTCCCACATTGCCCCACGAAGACCCGGCACACATAACTACCATTGAAACCCACAAGATAACAGAGTTGGCCAGGCAGAAAACTCAGACATTTGCAAGTCATAAAATCATTGTTTTTTAAAAACGTTTTGAATTCAGTGTGCTTTATTTATTTGTTAAAAACGAGATTAGAATGTTAAAGTTTCCTTTAATGACTTGTCTAAATACTACCCTTTCTAAATTCTATCTTCTCAAGGCATCCATTTATATGCCGCGCCCTTACGGAGAACGATCGACTATACACCGGCCACGGGGTGACTGGAGGTGAGGTTTTGTGTGTGTGTGTGTGTGTGTGTGATGGGCGGGGGGCGAGGGGCAGAGCGGCCCCGTTTAAGTCCTTCTTTTCGCACTTGCGACTTTAAGGGAATTTAACTTCGTCAAACGAAAACTATCTACCATTTCCCGTTTAGACCTATAGATTAATATATTCCTGATTGAAACATGTAATATTTTTGGTATGTCAAAATCATGTTTAACTAACTTTTAAAAAAATAAAACAAACTTTATTATATAAGGAACATTTTATACAATATCAAATTGTTAACGGTGTGAGACATGAAACACTCGTTATTTATGTGACTTTCATAATACATAATTTTGGATGGGAAATATAGGCTAATTTAATTTTGACTTTTTTTACGCCCACATTTTCATGTTGACGTATATTTGTTTGTGGAAACCCTACAGGTCACAATTTTTATCCGATTTTGGCGAAACTTAAAATATAGGCCTATCTCCTAAAGATCTCGGTTCCTTTTGATATTGACATGTATCGGATCATAACTTCATGGATTATGGCTCCTGATTGTACGAAAAATCACGTTTTTAGCTTGTGTCGACACTCTAGAGGTCACAATTTTGATCCGATTTTGATAAAACTTGAAATGCATGTTTATAACCCAAAGATCTTGATTCCTTTCAATATTCGCGCATATCGAATCGTAACTTCCTGAATTATGGCCCTTGATTGTACGAAAAATCGCGTTTTGAGACTGTGGTCCCTATATAGGTCCCAAATCCCATATTCGCGTATATCGATTCGTAACTGCCTGGATTATGGCCCCTGACTGTACGAAAAATCTCGCGTTTTTAGCTTGTGGTCTCTCCAGAGGTCACAATTTTTATCCGATCTAAAAAACCGTTTTATTTTATCACCGTTACATCCTTATGATGGTCGAGTTCGAATTTCGTGAAAATCAGACCAAAACTGTCGGACAAAATGACCGCCCTTTTTACGCAAATAGTGCAAACATCTGGTATATCAAGGTTGTGAGACTCCTAGCGGTCCCAATTTTGATCCGATTTTGATAAAACTTGAAATGCATGTTCATAACCCAAAGATCTTGATTCCTTTCAATATTCGCGCATATCGAATCGTAACTTCCTGAATTATGGCCCTTGATTGTACGAAAAATCGCGTTTTGAGACTGTGGTCCCTATATAGGTCCCAAATCCCAATTTTTATCCGATTTAAAAAAAAACCCCAACAAAACCATGTGAATAATATTATATCACAGTTATACACTAATGATGGTTGACTTCGAATTTCGGGAAAATCGGACTAAAACTGACGGACATAATGGCCGCCCCTTGTACGCAAATAGTGTAAAAATGTAAAAATATGGTATAAGGTTGTTGACCCTCTAGAGGCCACACTTTTTATCCGATTTGGATGAAACTTTAAATACATGTTTTTTATCATAAAGATCTTGGTTGCTTTTGATAATCACACATATCCGAACGTAACCTCCTGGATTATGGTCGAAAAATCGCATTTTTAGCTGGTGGATTCTCTAGAGGTCACAATGTTTTTTCCGATTTTTAAAACCGTTTGGATTTTTTACCATTCCGTCATAATAAAGGTTGAATTCGAATTTCGGGAAAATCGAAATGAAACTGCCCGACAAAATGGCCGCTCTTTGTACGCAAATTGTGTATAAGTACATGTATGTAATACAGAGGTTATGGACCCTCTAGAGGTCACAATTTTTTATCGGATTTTGATGAAACTTAAAACATATCTTTATATTCCAAAAATCTCAGCCCCTTTTGATATTTGCGCATTTCAGAACATAACTTTCTGGATTATGGCCCCTGACCCCCTGTCACGGTCGTATTTCATTAGTGTCACTATGGGTCGCCCAAACTCTGCCGCGTGGCTCGCCCAAACTATTTACCTGTAATATTAAGGCTCGCCCAAACTGTCTACCTTCAATGCACGTGCATACAGGTAGTATATAAACCCGAGAATCGGGCAGGTTTAGGAGATGGATTATGAAAGTTGGGTTGGAGGACTCGATACTGCCATCGGGTACTTGGGTGAGTGAAATTGTTATGCTATTAATTTTGGTGTCTTGGTTCCGATGTGCAGGTTTCGTATATTTTACTCATCGTTGTATATTTTGTTAGTATGAGTAAATATTTCATGTATAAATGTTGACTAATTTTACAGGTCCCCTTTTGGGTACCTACTGACGGATGGTAACTGTTCACTTCTGGAGTCGCCGATAAATGGTATCGTCGATGTATGGCCTTGCCGATGGGTGGACTGTTCTGTAAATGGTATCGTCTATGATAGTCGCCGATAAATGGTATCGTCGATGTATGGTCTTGCCGATGGGTGGACTATTCTGTGAATGGTATCGTCTATGATTAGTCGCCGATAAATGGTATCGTCGATGTATGGTGTTGCCGATGGGTGGACTGTTTGTTCTGTGAATGGTATCGTCTATGATTAGTCGCCGATAAATGGTATCGTCGATGTATGGTCTTGCCGATGGGTGGACTGTTCTGTGAATGGTATCGTCTATGAGTCGCCGGTAAATGGTATCGTCGATATATGGTCTTGCCGATGGGTGGACACTGTGTTATGGGAATGGTATCGCCTGAGTGGTCGCTGAACAATGGCATCGTCGATGTATGGTATTTGTTAAATGGTGTCGATATATGGTGATGCTGACGGATGGACATTTTTCCCTAGCTTCATAATTTATATAGTGCGCGCACTTAAAGTGTTCATTGTTATATTGTATTTTGAGTTATATAAAATGAATTCTTTTGTATTTAGTTTCTTTATTCCCCAAAACGGTCACGCCTCGTCCATCTTGTGACACCCCCCAGCGAAAAAAAAATAGTCGGTCACTAAATATGCAGTCGGTCGCAAAATAAGTGCTCACTGAATTAATGAGGTAAACAAACAATGCCAAAATAGAAGGAAAAATCCCAAATTTTATGTATTTGCGTGAATCCGTGCACCTAAATTGCATACGTCACGCTACTCACCGAAAACTTTAGTATAAAATAACCTTGACAACTTATGTTTGATAAAATGTTTTTTTTTACCCTTATTCGCAATAAGTGCAGTCACTGCAGTTGGTCTCAAAATTATACATCGGCGACTGACGAAATGAATTAATGAGGTAAACAAACAACGCCAGAATAGAGGGGGGGGGGAAATCTCAAATACTTAATATACGTGCACCTTAATTTCTTACGTCACATAGTCGGTCTCAAAATAAGTGGTCACTGCAGTCGGTCTCAGACTCGAAGAATTAATGAGGTAAACAATGTCAAAATAGAAGGGAAAAATTGTGAATCCGTGCACCTAAATTGCAACGGTATAGTATAAAATAACCTAGTAAACTTGTCATGTTTGAAAATTCTTCTCCCTGTTATGAGTATGTTGTAAGAAATTGAGAGCTTGTTATGCAGATTTTGATAACTTAAATTATATACTATTCCAAAAAAGTAGGGGATATTTGATTTTTAAGTGTTATTAAAGTCACCTAATGAAACTGACGAAGAAACAAATGATGAAATGAAGTTCACATTCATCGATTTATTCCAAATGATCGTTAGACTAAGTAAGGCACAGACTGACCATTAAAAGGGTAAAATGATACCCGGGGTCAAACAGCAAAGTTACCACAGCATCACAACCAAGTCAGTAACGGGTAAATCCTCCTGTTTGCCAAACAAGCATTGATCCGACGTAGCATACTCCTAATGAGACATCTAAGGTCATTTTGGTCCAGATTGTCCCATTCCTGTTGCAACGCAGCAGCAAGTTCTTGGACATTGGCAGGACGTTGTTGACGTAACCTCTGTCCGTCCAAGCATGTCCCAGACATGCTCGATGGGGGAGAGGTCCGGACTCAGTGCTGGCCAAGGTGATGTTCTGTTGTTGGAGGTAACCTGTAACGATCCTGGCCCTGTGACATCTTGCGTTGTCATCCTGGAAGATGAAACGGCGGCCATGACGTCGTGCGAACGGCACAACATGGACACCCAAGATGTTGTCCCGGTAGTACTGGCCTGTAACACGCCCTGCAACATGTAAAGCCGTTCTTCCAGCAACAGTGATGCCTCCCCACACCATAACAGAACCACCCCCAAATCGATCATGTCTGATGACGTTAACGTCTTGGAAGCGCTCGTTTCGACGACGCCACACCCTCCTACGTCTGTCCAAAAAATCAACAGTGAACCTTGACTCATCTGAAAACATCACATTGCTCCAGCGTCGATTATCCCAGTGTTGACGATCCCTACACCAACGACGTCTTGCCTGAATGTGATGATCTCTCAAACAAGGGATCACGCGAGGACGTCGGGCGCGAAGGTGACCCCTATGCAGTCGATTCCGAATCGTCTGGCCACTCACTCTCACACCAGTGTCTGTTTGAAGACGAGCTCTGATTTGCTGTGATGACACGATTTCTCAAGGCCAAGGTACGGATAAATCGATCCTGGGCTTGAGTTGTCGCCCTTGGTCGACCTGAGCGTGGTCTGTCCTGTACAGATTGTGTATCACGGTATCTGGACCATAGCCTGCTTATGACAGACTGAGAAACATTCATCGTCCGCGCCACAACCGCCTGTGTTGTGCCGATCTGTAGCATGCCAAGGGCACGTAACCTTTCATTTTGGGTAAGCCGCCGCATATCAAAATTTGTTTTCTGGTCACTAAAACAATTAAACTGATGTTTCCACCCTGGAATTCAATGCCAAAATGACTGTAACATTCAAAGTCAGAGTCGTGCAAATCTTGGGTTGGACCCCCATGATGATCCCAAGCATCACCTGTATTCCATGCGGTAGCTATTGGTGCGTTTGGGCGTCACATGTAACTGGAAATGTTTCTTCTGTTAGATTCTATAGTGACTTTTTTCGTAGTCATTTGCATATTTTAGTATTATGCCCCCAAAATCAAATATCCCCTACTTTTTTTGAATAGTATTATTGGATTGATCGAAAATCGTAATAAAAATGAATCAGGTTTGAGATATATAATGATTCAAACAGAATGCTCTTCTCAGTACTTCCTAGAAAATACTTCTTTTTAGATTACTGGAGATTTCATTTATCTCGACGGGTGACTTTGCTTGTGTTCCGTGGGATTCCTCCCGTCATTCTAAATTTCTGGCATATTGGATCCTCAGACATGTCCAGTAATTGCAGATTCTAACTCGCCTACTCCAAAAACCCTATTAGGGACACCATATATCGACCACGGCATGTGATTACGCTCTGCGCGTTCGAAATATAGGAGTTTCGGGCACTATTGTGGCCGCCATCTTGGATTTCCGCCATATTGGATTTTTCCGAAGTAGTTTCATATCGAAACTTGAATTTGCTGACCCCGAAAATCGCAGAAAAGACGCCATACAGTGGATAACGGGGGTGTTTTCGCACCGCTAAGGTGAGAATTGTTGATTCTGGCGTCATTTTGGACGCCATATTGGATTTCCGCCATATTGGATTTTCTGAGATGAATTATTGATGCAGTTATGAATTCTCTGTTTCCAAAAACCATATAAAAGACACCCTACGGTGGATATTAGAAGTGATTATGTACAGTATATGCAAAAAATATCGATTTTGACGCCATTCTGGCCACCATTTTGAAAAATGGCCCTGCACCAATCGAAAGAGCACTTTTTCGGGCAAAATTCTTCCGGATTCGTGTTATTCGGTCAATTTCGCCATAGAAACACCCGGGCGATTTTTATTTTTCGAAAATGTCGCATATTGGCCCAACCCTACTTAAAGTTAAGAATTTACTCAAAATTGTTCGCCTTATTTTAACTAAAATATAGTCCTTTATAAAACTGTTGTTGTTTTAAAGGAGAGAGAGAGAGGGGGGGGGGGTAACGTCCACTCGACACAAACTAGGTCATTTCGGGACTAAAATATGTCTTTTTAATTTTTTTATTTCAATAATTCGCTTGCGTGTAGGGGTCTTTAGCAGTGGGAGGAGGCCGGGGGACCCGGAGAAAACCCACGAGGTTGGACAGGCGACCCTACTCCTTGTCACGTACAACCGGGGAATCGAAACCACGCCAGTTGACTTGTTTTAAAGGAAGTAAGTCGCTAACTCAATATCATCCAGTCTTCGACATTGAAAACAAGAATTATTGGTCAATTTAAATCAACATAGATGTTGTTATCTTATTTACAGTGAAAAGAAGGATTTCAGATATCCAATATTTAAGACAAAATGAACATTTTAAAATTTGCGCACGAATCGCGTGCCATTTGTAATGATGTGACTAGATGAACGAGGCTAAGCATATCCCACAGGAGAATACTACCAGTGTAGTCTAGAATAATCAGATACAAAGACTGGCCTTCATTTTGAACTATTCGCGTATTTCACCGAACATAACTGATAAGAAATTACAGTAAAAACAGAAACGATTGAATGTATATCATTTTATATACATTCATTTTACATTCGGTGGGGCCCATTTGTGTCCATTTCTAGTTGCCAAAGAATACAGATTAAGCTCCTTTAATGTATCAAATACATCAATTTGTTGTAACCAAAACCACCAAAAGGCAAATCATCTCATTCAATGTCCGTTTTGCACTCAAAATAGCGAATCGTGAGATGCCTTTGTAGTATCTTTTTCACCATTACGTCAAAACAGCAAAAAGAACATACTTCACATCAAAAAGTTCCTGGTGATGACGCAAGCTTAACAGAAAATCAATCACATCCGACTGATAAATATATAATTTATCGATAATTGACGTACTATATACACATTATGAAACATTGTAGTGGATTAGGGGCGTACATAAAGATTTTGTTTGGGGGGTGTTTAGCAAAAAACTGATGCACATGTACCTAATACGAATGACGCAGTCAGGGGCCGAGCACCACGGATGATAGTTTTCTAGGGGCGGTTCCAAATTTAGGGCGGCTTCCACAATCACAACCTGCAATGAATGTCAAAAAAATACTGGCTGTAGCACTGGGCGTCCCGGTAGAATATAGATCGTATTGCCTATAATAATATAGTCGTTCGCCGATCGTTATCTCGTCGGAAAGCAATTATATTCAAGTTGACATAACGTTTATGTCATATTATATGATGATTGTTATTGATTTTGTTATTAAATTTATGTTAACCTTAGGGGCAGTGGCTATAACACTGAGCAACCTGAGAAAATTTTGAAAAATTGAACCAATATCTTAGCATTTGAGGTCATTGCTGGGAGCAAATTCTTGTGAACAAAGAACCAGAAATAGGAGTCAAATGGGACAGAATCTCGAAATCTGCCCCTGTCAATTCCGCCTGTTTTGCAAGAGTTGTCAGAACATTTTTACAGTCTGACGTACCACGCACCAGCGGTACTACTAGCTGGGCAGTTCACTATAACCGTGAATATGATAGTGCTGTGCAGTATAAGACCACAGAGGAGTGGAAGAATGATGTCATAATGGAATTTACCGGCGCATGCGCGAAAAAATTTCAGATATGTAACTGACCTTTTAATTTTTGGGGACTGGGCCTGAAAATTTTTAGTCAATGTCATGACAAATGGGATCAAATTCTCCTTACCGAGAGAAGAAATGGGACAGATTCTTGAGATCCGTCCGTCAATTTCGCCTGTTTTGTGAGAGTAGAAATAACAATTCTACAGTCTGTCGCCCAACTCACTGGTGGTACTACTAACTGGGCGATTCACTGTAACTGTGAATATGATAGTGATGAGATTGTATAAGACAGAAGAGTTGAAGAATTAACACGATAAAATTGAGCGCCGTAGGCGC